GTTATTCCCTCCAACTTTGGAAGGAAGTGCACACTTAAGGAGTGGGTATATATGCTCCACCTCCTTGAAGGCAGAGAGTTTATGTAAGTTATTTGGAATTCTGCCCAGGAGATTTGTCTCTTCTCTCCCAGTTACTCAATCATTAATTTAAATCAGTATAGACTCATGGGTACTCATTCTAGTCTGTGGGTTATATAATACTTTTTTGCTCACATTGTTCCAGTTGTGGCCATTGGGCGCTCTTTCAGTTGGCTCCTATGTCCTTTGACACCCGTTGTTGTTATTGTAAAGCACCGTTGAGTTGGTTCCAACTCACAGCATAGGGTTTCTGAAGAGCAGCTTGTGGGTTTGAACCACCAACTCTGTGGTTTACAGTCCAGTGCTGATCCTACAGCACCATGCTAGGAGTCCTTTGACACCCTTTAGTGCAGGATTTTTGATGCAGACTCATCTTGTATCTTTCTTGCCCCAACATGAGGCTTGGACATTTTCCCAAGGATTTCTGCTTGTTTTTTATTGAAGGGCAGTTTTCAAAACCAATATCTGGGTGCTGGGTCTTTGCTACTAGGCCCTTGCTGGTAGACCTCTTAAAGGACAGAGCAAGAAAAGTTATGTCTGGATACTAATGTGTACATATGCACGTATTACTAGATGCAGCCATCTGTCTCTGCATCAAGTTGAGCATGAGTGTATAATGCTGTCTCCAGCTCTAGTCCACACCATGTGGGTCATTCTGGTCTCCTCCTCAGCTTGTCTGTAACTTCTCACTCCCAGCAGTGAGACAGCCCACTCCCCTTTCCCACCACCCACTTACAGAATGGTTTCATCCCAGCATGCAGGTAGAGTGGTATGAGAATTGTTAGCCCATGCTGGCTGGCAGTGTGGTCAGAAGACTTCCAGGCGGTCGTCTATCAGCAGATATGCAAATCATGGCAATGTGTTTTGGCAGGAGTGAGCCTGGCTTGTGTTGGGAACAATAAAGAAAGTAGAATGACCAGAGTAAGAATGGGGGAAGGGGAAAAGAGGGTAAGGACAAGTTAGGGGACCTTATGGGTCTAGGTAAAGTCTTGTCATCTGTTGTAAAAATCATGGAAGTCATAGAAGGGCTGCAGCAGAGATCAATGGATGTTTCTAAGGCAATCCCCTGGCTTCTGTAAAGCAAAGATCCAAGGCAGGAAAAAGTAAAGTGGAAAAGGCTATCAAAAGCAGCTGCTCTTGAGCAGAACATGGGACCCTAACCAAAGAAGCAGTGACACCAGAGATGGATGGAAGCAGAGGTGATGGCATGCAGAGATAGAGCAGCTGAGGGCTATAGACTCTTGGAAAGAGAAAGCCTGTGTGCTGAACCTGTGTGGCTTGCAGAATGTGCCCTTTGATTGTTTAAACGATTATATATTCCTGCATGTTTCTGTGTACATCAGTAAGAAAGAAAGAAAGAAAAGAAAGGGAATAGAAGCAAATACTGTTAACCAATGAAGTATGGAGGGGCTAATCATTGCAATGAAAGAAAATACAATTGGTTGAGTGCAAAACCAACGTTTTCCCATGTAAACTACCACTCAATTCACAATAAAAGCTTAAAAAAAACAAAAACAAAAAAAACCATAGCTGCCTTGGTGACATTTGAGCCAGGAGTGGTAGCAAAGTGACGAGCGGTGGCCAGGTTCTGGACACAGGAATTTGCTGATGGATTGGATGGGGGTATGGGAAACAGAATGATTCCAGGGTCTCTGTGCTGGGGAAACTGGTATGGAATTGAGGTTTGATCATCTGGAGTTTAAGATGCCTGTTGGGCACTCAAATGCAGATGTCAGGAAGACAGTTGGACACACACATGCGGAGCTCAGAATAGATGCGGACTGTGGATAGCATCAAAACCAGGGGCTAGGCTCCTTCCAGACCAAAGTTGGGTCAATACCAACTCCATCACTGTAGTATTTAGAATACGTTTGTGGAACAAATAGATGTATGCACCTACTGAACTGTGATCATGTGTCTAGACCCCCAGGTTTCAGAGCCAGAGCAGGTGCCAGTGGCCCAGAGTTAATGGAAGGGCTGCAAACAGGCCCACCCATTGCTGTCTAAGTTCTCCCATTGTTGGTCCCTCTCTGGAGTTTGAGTCCTCAATCTTTCTCCTCTGCCAGAGAACCCAGAATAAGAAACAATGGAGGAAGAGAGAGAGAAGTTCACTCCCCTACACTTTACTGCCCAAGGATACCCCCTACTCAGAGCCACTTGCCTCCAGGAGGCTCCCTCAGATCCACCCTCTTTTCTTTGTTCTAGCTTCTCCCAGGGCTGACCACACCCAGTCACAATTTCCCCTAGGTAAAGTGTGGACCCACAGTCCTCAGGACCAGTCCAGTGCTATGCTAAGGAGGGTGTGCACCTCTCTTCATAGTTACATCCAGCCATGGTAGGAGTACATCACAGAAATTGGCAATGCTACAGATCAAGGTTCCCCCACCCACACGACAGCCAGTTGTTAAATATTTAGTACACACCACTAGACAGTTCTGTGCCCCCTCTTAGGTTCCCCAAGAGTTTCTTCCCACAGTGACTACCTAATCCTAGGGCCTTCTCAGTCTTGGACAGGGAGAGAAGAGACTAAGGAATTGGGCAGAAGGGCTGCTATACCATCCCATTTTGGGGCTGAGCCCAGTGGTCTTCACTCATGCTTCTGTCACCTGCGAGGGGACTGTTGAGGTCAGTGACTAGGACACACCCGACAAAGAACAGCTAGCCTGTGAGGATGATGGGAGAATCCAGGGCCACCCCAGGGATGACATCAGTCCCCTTTCCCTTGTGTTCTTACTTGCAGCAGAGATGAAGATGAGGCCCTGGAGGGCTGAGGGAACGCCAGTCTGTGTGTACCTGTGAATATGAGCGCATGTGTGAGTGGTAACTGTGTGTGCTTGTGTGCATTGGTGTTTATGACTACATATGTGTGTTGCATGTGTGAGTGTGCATCTCTGAGGATTTGAGTGGCGACTGTGTGTGTGTAGGAGTGCATGTCTGTGTGCATGAGTGTTTATTACTGTGTACACGTGTGAGGGTGCATTTGTGCAGATCTGAGTGGTGACTGTATGTCTTTGAGTGTAGGTGTGTCTGCATGAATGTTTATGGCTGCATGTATGTGTGTGAGCATGCTTCGTGTCTGTGAGTGATGACCGGGCCAGGGTGTGGGGAGGGGAGGTTGTGCACAGATGTGAGGAAGTAGGGCCACTTCCCCAGGAACTCTGGCTGTCCCCTCTTCCTGACCAGGGAGGGGAGAGGGTTCCAACTGCATAAAGAGGGCCAGGAGCCTGGTGTCCTGTGCCCCATCTGCTTCTCCTGGTTCATCTCATACCTACTGCTGCCCAGTGCCTGCCTGCTGCATCCCAGGCCCTGGTCTAGGAGGGAGGGACCAGAAGTGCTGTCGTTCAGGGGTCTCTTACCCCAAACCTACTGAGGAGCAGGTACTGGCCCTAGGGCTGGCCTCCTAGGGAAGAAGGGGAGGGAGCAGTTGTAAGACCCTAGGTCCTGGAGGTAGAGGGGAGGAGCCCTGAGGCCCTGCTGCAGAGCTCCCTTTCTTGGGCACATTCCTACTATGGGGTCAGCTGGAGGAGGGTGCTGACCTAGGAGGTAGAGTTGCCCAGACACCATGATATGGCCCCCAGGCCATGTCAGAGTGTTACAGGTGCCTTGCTGACTGGATATGCCTGTGACTGCATGCAGTTGTGTGCAGCTGAGTGTATCCATGTGATTTCACATTTGCGTGACTCTGTTGTGTGCATCTATGCACCTCATTGGACAGTCCACCTTGGACAGGTGTCCATTCTCACCTGGCCTGCCCAGCTTGGAGCTGGTCCACACTGCAAGCTTCAGAAAGAAGGTAGGCTGCAACCCTGGGAGAGAGGCCAGAGTGACTGAGAAGCTGAATACCTGGGCACCAAAAAGGGCAGCTGGATAGTCCCTGTCCAGCAGGACCAACAGAAGGGGTGCACAGAAGGATAGGGGTTTTTTTTGGAGATGGAGCAATCAAGAGCTCTGTGAAGTGTGAGGAGTAAGACAAGGCAGAAGGGATGGGGTGCTAGAGGAGCTGGAGACCTGGAGGGCCGGGGTGATGGAGGGCTGAGGGAAGCTAGAGGGCTGTGGTGTTGGAGAAGTTGGGGTGCTGGAGGGATGGGGAAGCTCAGGATCCATGGTGGCTGTAAGGGCTGGGGGACTTAGGCACCAGAGGGTAGGGGTGCAGAGCAACAGGAGTGACTCAGGGGACTGGAGACTGGAGGCCAAGTCTCTGTCAGCCATACATCTTGCAGAATGCTGAAGTATGGGTGCCTCCCAGTGAGCTGAGCCAGGCCCAAGTAAGGGTGAGAGGCAAGTGACCAAATGGGTGCATCTTGGGCTGAGGCCATGTAGCCTCCACACTGAGTGGGCTGGCTTCAGTTTCCCTGTCCATCCCAGGAAGGCAGCTGTTGGGCTCTGTGGTCCCAAGAGCTGGGGAGTGGGCACTGCTGATACTGTCAGGCTTTTTGGGGGGTGGGGCCATGCTTCTCTGAGTCCCAGGGCCTAGGGTTATCATGCCTGAGATGAGGCCCAGGGGCAGGGTGTTTCATTGGAAATGAGGCCTCTGTATTTGTCCTTTGGCAGAGACAACTGCCTCTCCCTATATCTCAAGGACAGGGTTAGGAATTGGGGTGGAAGCAGCATGCCCGGCCCCAGCAGAGACTGCCTCTTTCATTGTGAGATTGTGAGTTCCCCACCACCACAGTTGTGTAAAGGAAGGTAGGTGGGCTTTGCTGAGTAGCAATTTGGGGTGGGGCAGCGGGGGTGGGGAGGAGCTGGCTCAGCAGAAACCAAAGGTTCATCCCCACCAGAGTGCTGATTCCCAAGCACCCGTGTGGTTGACCTCCTGTAGGTTCTGGGGCTGCCCACTGGAGATGTGGTTCCAGGGTGCCTTAGGCTTCTGACTGTGCTGACCACCCCATGTAACCGGCCTCAGGTCCCACCCGCCTGCCCCTATGACCAACATGAGCTGGAGTTTCCTGACGAGGCTGCTGGAGGAGATCCACAACCACTCCACCTTCGTGGGCAAGGTGTGGCTCACAGTGCTCATTGTCTTTCGCATCGTGCTCACAGCGGTGGGTGGTGAGTCCATCTACTCGGACGAGCAGAGCAAGTTCACGTGCAACACCCGGCAGCCAGGCTGCGACAACGTCTGTTACGACGCCTTCGCCCCACTGTCCCACGTGCGCTTCTGGGTCTTTCAGATCGTGGTCATCTCCACACCCTCCGTCATGTACCTGGGCTACGCCATCCACCGCCTGGCACGGGCCTCAGAGGAGGAGCGGCGCCGCGCGCTCCGCCGCCGCCACCACGGCCGCCTGCCCTGTCCCCGCCGCCCGTTGCCGCCCCCACACCCGGGCTGGCCCGAGCCCTCAGATCTGGGCGAGGAGGAGCCCATGTTGGCCCTGGGCGATGAAGAGGAGCTGGAGGCAGCCGAGGGCCTGGGCGAGGAGGAAGAAGAGGAGGTAGCGATGGCCGCCAAGGGGGCCAATGTGGACAGCAAAGCCGCTGCTGGTGCCCCAAGCCCCGCTGTCAAGCACGATGGGCGGCGGCGCATCCAGCGTGAGGGCCTGATGCGCGCTTACGTAGCGCAGCTGCTGGCGCGGGCGGTCTTCGAGGTAGCCTTCCTGGTGGGCCAGTACTTTCTGTATGGCTTCGAGGTGCGGCCTTTCTTCCGCTGCAGCCGCCAGCCCTGCCCACACATGGTCGACTGCTTCGTGTCGCGGCCCACCGAGAAGACAGTCTTCTTGCTGGTTATGTACGTGGTCAGCTGCCTCTGCCTGCTGCTTAACCTCTGCGAGATGGCGCACCTGG